TGGAATATTGACTTTTACTATAAGATTTTGGAATTAACTATAAAAAATAACTTCTTATGGGAAATAGGCTTATTTTTGCTTAGGTTCTTTATGATTTTAGAAACTGGACACTAGAGGGAACTAAAGATTCTAAGTAGAAGGGAAAAAAATACAAGCCTGTACAGAATGACACAAAACAACATCATAACATTGGAAATATTAAAGGAAATCTTTGAGGAATGGAGCCAGAAATTAGTAGGTACAATATCAACAATGTCAGTAATGATGTCTGACTCTATGGATAGACTATGTCCAAAAGATGTTAATTAGGGAATGACAGATGTGGAGCAAATTTTGTCTGACAAGACAAAGTAAGTACTGAAAGTGAAACTACAAATGACAGGCCAAGAGAATGATTTGGAAAAGGATGCTTCTAACCCCTTATAGACTTTTTGCATAAAACAGAAAAAAATGAACTGTTGATTGGTGGTCTGATTATTAGAAAATATTAGATAATAGAAAAAAGAGCTTTTTTTTTGTAACCATAGAGCAAGAGATAATTTTGTATCTCCTGTATTTGCTGCAGTTTCTTTTTTCTATTTCTCTTTAACTTTTCTTTTTGCACTTTTGTTCTTTCTCTTTTTTCCTTTCTTTTATTCCTTTACTTTCTATTAGTTTTTGTTAGCTTTTATCTTCTTTATAAGACTTTAATAAAATTTATAAGAAAAGAAAAGGATGCTTCATTGGATATAGAAAATAAACTGGCTGAAGTTTTAAAAATTAAAGGGGAAATACAAATGACAAATCAAGAGAATGACTTGGAAATTGTTTTCTTATTGGATCTACAAAAGAGCCTTGTTAAACCATTGAAGAAGTCTATATGATGGGATAAAGAAGAAGAGAAGAGAAATCAAATCTTAAGACAATATTTGAATGAACTAAAGATTAAGATTGTTAGAAGAAAAGGAAGGAATATAAAATTGGTTTATTTGATCAAGGTTAAAATAAGACTTTTTAAAATAAGGTTCTGGCAACCCTTTAGAGACTTTTTGCTGACACCAGGATTGAAAAGTTGATGTTTTATGGATTTGCTTATATATAAGGGATGGGATATGGGATGATGAGATATCTGTTTGTAACCTTATAAAGGGTGAAGAGTTACTAAATCTGTCTATACTTGTAATGAAGGTTGGAAGTCACTTTTTTATATATTTCTTTTTCTTTATTCTTTCCTTTCTCTTTTTCTTGCAATTTTTATTCTTTCTATTCTCTTTAAGTTTAGTTTGTATTTGTTTTTACTG